GAATGCCGATTAATGGAAACAAAACTGCAGATAGATAGGAGGAACTATTTTTCCTGTTGTAAAATACAGTGGGGAGTATGTAGATGGCAACAACTTGCTGTATATCTCAAAGTAACTAAAGGGAGGATTGTGAAGGTTCCCAGCATCAGTAAGGACAAATGATTCAGATTATGTGTATACACATTATCCTTATTTAATTATTACACATTGTGTTCTTGTACAGAAAAATGAAAATGTACCCTTACAAATATGTACAATTTTTATGTTAATAAAGATATTTAAATTTGGGGGGGCCAGCAGATGGTGTAGTGGTTACATTGCTGGACTCCCACATGGTTGACCATGGTTTGAGTCTTGGACTTAGTGTCTTGAAACTCACACTGGGCATGTGGGCGTGCATGCCCAAGATCCCAGGAGGAGAATGGAGGAGAAGGGGTTGCAGTGTGGCCATCCCCCTGGGGGATGCCCTAAGGCAAAAATCTCTTTAAAATTTTTAAAAATTTATAAATCAACTCACAATGATATGGTGACCAAGATACTTGTAAATGAGCAAGAGTTTAAGTATACTATTGTTTGTAATAGAAACTATGGTAAAGTAAGTAAATTTTCATCATGAGAGTACCAGTGAAATCAAGTTTGTAGCATGATAAGATGAAACACTGGGTCCATATAAAAATATTGAAATTGTATTACAAAGTAATTTAAAATGTTATCATGGAAATGTATTTACGCAGAAATATGGTCATAGTAAGGGCAAAGGTGATTATATGGATAATAAATGTCCTAAACTCATTTTATTTCTCCAGTTTTATTTCAAGAGGTCTCAAAGCATACAAACTAAGAAAATCTTGTTCCTTTCACATATATCTTTCTCTTCAGCATATTAAGAGGCTCAACTTTTTGCCTTGAAGCCATCAGTAATCCAACACAGTTGGAATGTCTCTGTTTCTATCCAGACTTGCATTAAGCTCCTTCTGGTGGGCTTGAGCCATAGCCCCTCCTTTTCCTGCTCTGAGATGTTCAAGCTGTAGTACAGGCTTCTGTCAATAGGTGGCACCAACATACTATTATTATCAAACTTCTCAACAAAGACGTGTATGCAAGGGGTAAATACAATAACCTCCATTAAAATTCAGTTTATGGGGGCCAGCAGGTGGCACAGTGGTTAAGGCACTGGACCCCACTTAGCTCACTCCACAATTAGTCCCGGACCCAGCGGGCATGATAATCACATCGGGTGTATGTACATGTGTGCCAAAAATCCCTAGAGGAGAATGGAGAAGGGATTGCAGCTTGGCCATCTACCCCTAAGGGTGACATGACTTCACATTTTCCTTCTCTCTATCTCTATCTCTCTCTGGTGAGAACATGTATCCTATGGGGAAAAAAAAACAAACCTAAAACCAAAACAAAAACTCAAACCCCAAAATATACAGCCAACTGATTTTTGACAAAAGGTACCAGTCAATCCAATGGGAAAAGGAAAAACGTCTTTGGCAAATGGTACTGGAAAAACTGGGTATCAACGTGTAGGAAGATGAATCTGAACCCCTATCTGTCACCATTAACAAAAATCAACTCAAAGTCTATCAAAGATCTAAACCTAAGATCTCAAACTATACAATTACTGGTGGAAAACACGGGAAACTCTGAGAGACACTGGGGTAGGCAAAGACTTCTCTTTTTCTTTTTCTTTCTTTCTTCCTTTCTTTTTTTCTTTTATTTTTGTTTATTTTTTTAGTTCATATACCAGGCATCTGTTATTAGGTGTGAATTCTCAACTGGGATATGAAAGAACTCAGCAAGTTTCTTTGGAGGGGTGCTAAGTCAAGGAGATGAAGATCTGGTTCAGTGTGTGCTCTCCATGCTGGCCCTCTTTAGTGGTACTTGCGTCACCATTCATGTTTGAGTTCCTTGTAAGAAAGGCAGTAGCTGAAGAACACATAAGCAGCCAGCACCATAGAAACCTCAGCAACACCCCTTTTCTTCATGTTGATGTACCTGTTGTAATACTAGTAGTAACCTCTCTGAAATGCTCCAGCAATGCCTTTAGGGGTAAAATCCCGCATCAATATCTAGCTTGCCAGCTCCCCAAGTTTGACATCCATGAGTTTTTTCTACTTCCCTGGTACAACTAACACCATCTTGGAGTCCTGGTGTCTGCCCAGCAAAGACTTCTTAAATAAGACCACCAAAGCACAGGCAATAATCCCCAAAATGGACAAGTGGAATTATATCATATTAAGAAGTTTCTTCATGGTAAAAGACACAGTAATTAGTGTGAATCAACAACTCTCAGAATGGGAAAAGATTTTTGTAAACTATGCCTCAGATAAGGGACTGAATCAGAATTCACAAGGTATTCAAGTGGCTTATCTAAAAAAAAAAATTGATTAACCCAATTAAGTGATGGCAAAAGGAGTTGAATAAACAACTCTCCAGACATATGAACAGCCAAAAAGCATATGAAAAAAAATGCACAACATCCTTCATCAGAAGGGAGACAGATCAAAACCACAATGAAATACCATCTAACCTCATTCAGAATGGAGAAGATTAAAAAATAACTAAATAAATAATAAATGCTGGCAGGGATGTGGTGAAAGGGGAACCCTCTTACACTGCTGGTAGGAGTATAAATGGGCCCAGCCACTGTGGAGAACAATATGGAGGTTCTTCAAAGACCTACAAATAGAACTACCATATGACCCAACAGTTCCACTCCTGGATATCTACCCAAAGAACAGGAGAACACTCAGTCAAAAAAGTGCTTGCACATCTATGTTTATTGCAGCATTATTCACAATTGCTAAGACATGGAACCAACCCAAATGTTCATGAATAGATGAATGGATTGGAAAAGTGTGGCACATATACTCTACGGAATACTACTCTGCCATAAAAGAAACAAGACCCTGGCATTTGATAGAAAGTGGACAAAAATGGAAGATTTACTGCTAAGTGAATCAAGCCAGGCTATGAAAGAGAAATATTGTATGCCTCCATTTAACATATACCAACTCTCCACACTCTATGGTGGAAACTGAGAAATTAGAGGACATATAAGCATTGAAAATGGTTATAGATACTGGAGATAATATGGAAAGAGAGTGGGAGGAAGGGGAGAATGTAAGGAAAGAAATTAAGGAGGAAAATAGAGAGGCAAGACATTTATGGGACACGTCAATGATCCTAACCACCCCCCAAATGAAACAAATCATGAAATAAAGAACAAATTAGTTTCATCACCCAAAAACACAAACAAAAAAAACCACAAAAATTCAGTTTATGAATCTTTAGAATAATTTTAATTGTTGCTAAAAATAAAAGGAAAAAAGAAAGAAAAAGAAAGAAAAAGAAAGCCTGATAGACACATAAGACCAAAAACATGTACCATTTTTATTCTTCTTTATCCCAATCCACATGAGGTGCTCCAGTGATGAAGCACTGGATTGCACTATGACCTCCTTGAGTGATACAAAGCTTGATTCCTCTCTCACTTTTTGTTTCCTTTTTTTAAAAAGAATTATCTATTTAATTTTAGTCATTCATTCATTTATTTTCATTTGACTGGAGAGAAAGAGAGAGAGAGAGGAAAAGTGAGAAAGCAAGCCACCAGGTACAGGACATGAACCATGGTTGGCCATGTGGGAATGTCCAGCACCTTAACCACTACACCACCTGCTCGTCCTTTTTTGTTTCTTTTTAAAATGCAAATGTGAGTGTGTGACCTTCAGTGTGTTTGCATATGTTAACTTAAAATGAATTTAAGAACAGTTTTTTGAAAATTTTCTATTAAAATAAATGACTTAAAATTTTTTTAAAAATCACAAAACATGTAGTCCAGGTATGCAAATGATAAAACACCAGGTAGCTCTAACTTGCCTTGGCAATTAGAGCTACCTTGTGTCAGCTGGTTTGCTGACATAGGGTAGCACAGGGTAGGCAGAAGATAACTGAGAAAGGATGAGGGCAATGGAGTGGGGCCTGGGAAGCTATGTCCATAGTACCCTGAAAGGAGGTGACTGAGAGTGGGTGAGAAAAGGTCTCGACAGCCTACACAGGGTTATAATAAAACGAGGGTGAATATCCTGCTCTCTGGAAAGATCCTGTCTACAGTGCGGACACCTCAACCTACACTGATGAAGAAAAAGATTAATTAGTGCCTGCTTCAGCAGCACATATACTAAAATTGGAATAATACAAAGATTAGCATGGCCCCTGTGCAAGTATGATACACAAATTTGTGAAGCATTCCATATTAAAAAAAAAAAGATTAATTAAAAGAATGTGACTAGCCAGCAGGTGGTATGGTGGTTAAAGTGGCTGGATCCCACCTGGCCAAGTGCATGGTTCAAGTCTTCAATTTGGTGCCTTGAAAATCACACCATGTGCATGTGGGTGCATGCCCAAAATTCTGAAAAGAGAATGGAGGAGAAAAGATTGTGGTTTGGGGGATGATTTCTCACTTTACTGCTCTCTCTCTTGTCTGTCTCTCTCTAGTGAAGGCATGCACCCTATAGAAAAACTTTAAAAATAAAAAAAAGAATGTGATATAAATTTAGAGCCATGGTAAGTGTAATTGCTTTAATATAAATGACTTAAAATTTAAAAAACAATCACAAAACATGTAGTCCAGGTGTGCAATTTTCAAGCAGAATTGGTGCCATATTAAACAAACCACTTTAACATTACTTTTTACAAGATTTATTCCTTTTTATTAAAAAAGCAAAAATAAAATGGGAATTCATCTCATTTGCATATATTTTTATGTGAATTCTCTGCTAAAATTATTTGCAAATCTCTTTATTAGTTTGTTTTACAAAGAATGGATACTAACCCAATATCTCAAGTGCAATTTGCAATTATTCTTGCCAGAGATCACACAATCCTTAGTATTTTTTGTACTGAGAATTTGTTCCTCAATTTCAGTAATATTGAGACTTATAATAACAACTCCTAGAGAGATCAGATCATTCAAAGCCTAGGAGGAAGACATTTAAAATGGAAAAAACCTTTAGAATAATTCAGAATCAAGTGTTGAGGAGATGAAAAAGTGATTCCCTGATTTATTTAAATTCCCCTAAAGTCAGTACCCTGATCTGTAAAGTGCTAATAATTATGGGACACTCAATATCCGTTAGTATTAAAGGAGATGAAATATAAAGTACATTGACTTAAAGTATTTTGTACATATTCCCTTTCTTTCCCAAGGTCAACATCTGAGATTCTGCCTGATCCTACTCACCCCTTCAGGGATCGACCATCTCATGTGGCCCTACACTCACTCAGGTCTCTTGGAATAAAGGGTGAGATTTCAAACTCCTCTGTCATCTTCATCACTAAGAGGGATCATTGAGTGAGGACCTGTGTGACCACAATTCAGGGGAAGTCTAATCTAAACATTTCTCAAGCCCTGACGTCTCATCTTCTAAAAGGGAGGCTGTTCAGTGTCCTCTAGAAAAGGCAAAAAATGAAACTTTATTCCAATTGTGTCTTTTACCTAAAGATGTGACTTAGATCTGTAAGCCTGAGTTTGTTAATCTGTGAGATGGAACTAACCATACCATCTTTACAGAGCTGCCCTGAGGGACAAATGAGAAAACTTGCCCAGATAATGTCTTGTACTTGGACTTTAATGACCTTTTAAGTGTTGAGACACAGCAGTAGGGGATGGCTGAGACTTAAAGGTAGGGA